AATATGAAAGAAGAAGCCGGCGTGTGTATGTATAGTAGATATACGTATGCAGCCGTTCGCGGCGTAGATGGCTCCGGGGCTGTCGATGAAGACTCCAGAGGTTCAGGTTCGCGGACGGAGGCAACCTGGGGAAAACGAATGGAGTGGGAAAAAAGAGGGAAGAGTCGATCCACCGCGTATTTCCACCTTGCCGCCTCTATCGTGGGCGCTAAAATACATTTTCCTACGAAGTGTCGTCACGGGAGGACCTCCAGCTGCTTGGTCGTGATATTCTACATGCGTAATGTTCACTCGAGGATATTTCCATACATAAATTTCATCCGGAAGAAAGTAAGTGGCTGTGCAGCTGCACGTCGACGCTGATCACGCGATGTCCCCGGGAACGCTGTCGGCTGATCGGGTCTTCCGTCGGTTACCAGGATCATTATTCTTTGTTTTGCGACATCTCTGACTTGGGCTTCTTTTGGATTAGATACTGTACAGGGTATCTCGTTCAAATCGATCCACACGAATATCGTCGATAGCTATTGATGACAGCGAAGAAAGTTGTATGGCTTCGAAGAATATAAAATCTCGACGTGCGTTACGAAAAGTAGCATGTTTCATTTGTCATACAATGAACAGCACGTGTTAGTTTGTCACGTAAACAAGCACATTTCTGTAGGAACCGACGGAAAAATTTTCGAGGGACCCAATGGGAATCGAACTTCGGCTTAGCAAGCCGAGACTTTGCACACTACGCCAACTACTCCCCCTCTCTTTTCCGTGGTCGGTTTCCTATGTGGGTATGGAGGCCCCGATACTACATTTCATTGTCTCTTACGAATATCAGGTCACGAAGAATAGCACGAAAACTAACTGACTTAAAATCAGTTTAAGTAGTCCAAATACATTGTTCATCGAAAAATTCAACATTTGAAAATATTGTTTAATAAACAATAACCCCATCCAATCTCCAAAACGAACAAAAATATGAACATGTTTCTCACTCTTGTCTCCGATGTACTCAAGAAGCGAACGAATTGAAGAGAGATAACAGCCAGCAATTCCCAGAACCCTTACCTCCATCGATAACAGTCGTGACGCGGACCCGAGCCTGCCTCAAATAAGGGGGTATTCTGGTCTAGAAGTATAAAAAATCGACTTTACGATTTTTATATTTTTCGAATGTTTGTAGTCTTAACAATATATTCCCCAAGTATATTTTTGAAATTCAAAAAAATAACGAAGTTGTAGAGGTTTAAAAGAAACTGTGCGCGGATTATCGTGCTAGCTGAATAGCTACAGATGATAGCTACAGAGCTAATAGATGAACAAGTCTTACTAATAATAAAGCTGATTTATAAACATTTGACCTCACATGACTTATTGGCGAAATGTGTGAGAGCTAACACGAAAAATAGTCGAGTCGCAATTCTCTAATATGGATTTTGTTCCGAAGCACAAATCAACGACAACAATTCAAATTGCAACATTTCTAACTGTTTGCATATTTCATAGAGGAATTAGCTTTCTTTGAGAAATGAATGCCACTATGGGAATCAAAATGGTCCCCAGAACAAAGAAATTTATCAGTAACGAAGCTAAGGTACGTTGAAACCGATCGGAGCAGCGCAAGTCAGATGCAACAGAAAAAGTACAGAATTGCTTGTAATTATAAACAATCGGATCAGTTAGAATTTTACGAAGAAGAGGGAGGATCGCTGTATAGTGTAGATATTATTGATTGATTATAAGTGCATCTAATTTCTCTTCATTGTATCTAAACTTAAACTGAAACTTTAAACGCGATTTTCTCGAAACCATGTTTTGCGAAATGTTTGCCACGATATCTCAATAACGGTGTGTCCGATGTTAATGAAATTTTGCGTGGATATTCCAAAATGTCGTCATTATCGTCTGAACCAAAATTATAAAGATATCTGCAAAATTGCATTTGTAATTAACAAATTAATCTCACCATTGAAGGGACTTTTCTATTTAACATGGCACCATTTTGCTAAAAATTCATTTTAACAAATGATTTTGGTTCAGACGATAGCAACGCTTTTACTGAACAGAATTTTCTTTAAATTATTTGTTTCTGACGTCTACGAAGGATGGAATCATGGCAACCAATTAGACGTACACACAATTTTCATGCTTTCATACAGACATCTTACACTTATTGCTTCACGCTAAAAAATATATATGAATATTGTTAAAAGGTTGATTAAATTATTAGAAAAAATTTCGTGTACTACATTTACTTTGATTATCCATAAAAAATTCTGAAAGGTGGCAATGAAACTCACGCGCTAGACCAGAATACAGTAAATTTCCTACAAGAGTCAGTAAATTTGGATTCTACAAGTGACAGTACAGATGGTCCTACGCCTAGCTCTGCGTCATTGCTACGCCCATGTTATCTCGCTCGCAGTACGAGAAAATACATTTTAAGCGTAGGATTACAGTATTATGCTTTATAATTAAAACGAAGCGAATATACACCTATAACGTCGGCTAGGAGATTGTATCTCGTCGCGTCATTAACATAACACACTGCGGCACTACTCGTACTCAAAATGAAGTACGATTCTGCTATGCATTCTGGACGTGGCATCGAATTTTCGAACTACGATGTGGTTGAAAATACAAGTAATTAAATATTTCGTCGATAGAAATGATTCCAATAAATAAAAGTTCCCAACGAAAACTTACCTTTTTTTGGTACCGAATACAAAGGTGTGCTTGGTTTTTCAATATCTCACACGGTTGCCGTGTTTCTGTTAAACGAAGCGAATATACAAATATAATGTCGGCTAGGTGATAGTAGTTCTTAGCTACTTTCACGTAACGCAACGGTACGATACCAGTACTCTAAATGGAGTACGAATCTGCTATACATTCTGGACATTGGCGCCGCATTTCCGAACTATAATGGTGGGGGCAAATACAGATAACTAAATATTTCGACGATAAAAGTAAATCCTAAATCTAAATGTGGCCAACGAAAGCTTATCCTTTTTTGGTACCGAATACAAAGTTGTGTTTTGTTATTACAATATCTCACACGGCTGCCGTGTTACTGTTAAACGATGCATATATACACATATAACGTCCCTCATGGACATAGTATTTCATCGCGATATTCACGTAACGTACCGGTGCGATACTCGTACTCGAAATGGAGTACGATTCTGCTATGTATTCTGGACATCGGCGCCGAATTATCTAACGACGATTGTGGGGGCAAATACAGCTAATTAAATATTTCGGCTTTAAAAATATTCCCTATGTAGTAGGATTTATGGATTGATAGCATATTCTTTGGTATCTGGGAAAAATACACAAATGTTTATTTACTTTTCGTCGGTACATGTTAAATATTTGATACAGAATAATTTTGAACAAGTCAATGTAGAGTTCGAGCTGTTGCTTTCGCTTTCGGGCGTCCGGCTTTAAACAGCCGTACTCTCCCGTTACAATATGAACGAAACGGATAAAACGATTCATAACAATTATTGTGGGAAGTCGTCCGATGAGCCTCCTGTACTCTACTCTTTGGAAGGCGACCGGCGGATAGTCCAGACGTTCTCTCCATTCCAGGAGCGACCCAGGTATAGCTCTCGTGCTCTCCTATCACAATATTCTGTAATACGCGTGAAGTGAATTATAACAATTATTGTGGGAAGGCGTCCGATGAACCTCCTGTACTCTACTCTTTGGAAGGCGACCGGCGGATAGTCCAGACGTTCTCTCCATTCCAGGAGCGACCCAGGTATAGCTCTCGTGCTCTCCTATCACAATATTATGTAATACGCGTGAAGTGAATTATAACAATTATTGCGGGAAGGCGTCCGATGAGCCTCCTGTACTCTACTCTTTGGAAGGCGACCGGCGGATATTCCAGCCGTTCTCTTCATACCAACAGAAGTACTAAGTAATCCTCTCCGAGCTTCCTCAGGCGTCCGGGTATCCTCCCTGTACTCTCCTCTCTCAGACGCGCCCGGCGGATAGTCCAGCCGTTCTCTCCTCCAGAGAGTGACCCAGGTGTCAGTCCCCGTACTTTCCTGTGCTGTAAGGCCGTCCGAAATCTTGGCTTCCTACTCTCCCACTCTGAAGGGCGACCTCTCTCCAAGCAGACCTCTCTCCCAATAGAGTACAGCAAGAATGACGGCCGCGTCCGCGGCAGTGGTATATATATTTGACCGTTGCTAATGAAGCGCGGCTAATCAACAAGACGCGTCGCTAAGTATTTTCCCGCACGAGACCGCGAGTCTCCCGCGGAAAACCGCGAGTCTACCGCGGATCGCAAGCTAGTTTCTTCTAGACGCTTCTATCGCTACGCGATTATTCGGCTGACGACGAGGATAGAGTGTCCTCTCGCGAAAAATGAAATTTTTGGCGTCTTTGTTGCTAGTTGTTACACCTACAAATAAATGTTCCCAACGAAACCTTACCCTTTTTTGATACCGAACACAAAGGTGTGGTTTGTTTTTTCAATAGGTCAAACGGTTCCCGTGTTACTGTTAATCGAAGCGAATATACACATATAATATCTCGCTTGGAGATAGTGTTTCTTCGCGATTTTCACGTAACGTATCGGTACGATACTCGTACTCCAAATAGAGTACGATTCTGTTATGCACTCTGGACAACTGCGTCGAATTTTCTCACTACGATATGGGGGAAAATACAAAAAACTAAATATTTCGTCGTTAGACAGAATTCCAACAAGAAAATGTTCCCAACGAAACCTTACCTTTTTTTGGTACCGAATACAAAGGTGTGATTTGTTTTTTCAATAGCTCAAATGGATCCCGTGTTACTGTTAAACGAAGCGAATATACACATATTACGTGGCGCTTGGAGATAGTACTTCTTCGCGATTGTCACGTAACTTACCGGTACGATACACATTCTCTAAATGGTGTACGATTCTGCTAAGCATTCTGGAAATCGGCGTCGAATTTTCGAACGACGACTGTGGGTGCAAATACAGATAATTAAATATTTCGGCGTTAAAAATAATTGCTTCAGCTAAATGTATGCATCAAAAACTTATAATTATTTGATCCCGATTATAATAGTGTGCGTGGTTCTTCAATATCTTACACGGTTGCAGTGTTGCTGTTAAACGAAGCGAATATACAAATATATCGTCGGCTAGGTGATAGTAGTTATTCGCGAGTTTCACATAACATACTTGTGCGATACACGGACTCCAAAAGGCGTACGATTCTGCTATGCATTCTGGACGTCGGCGTCGAATTTTAGAACTGCGATAGTGGGGGCAAATACAGATAATTAAATATTTCGACTTTAAAAATAATTCCTTCAGCTAAATATATCTAGCGAAACCTTACCTTCTTTTGGTACCGAATACAAAGGTGCGCTTTGTTTTTCCAATAGCTCATACGTTGCCGTGTTACTGTTAAACGATGCGAATATCCACATATAACGTCGGACATGGTTATAGTATTTCTTCGCGACCTTCGCATATCATATTGGGACGATTCTCCTACTCTAAATGGCGTACGGTTCTGGTATGCATTATGGACGCCGGCGTCGAATTTTCGAACTACGATGGTGGGGGAATATACAGATAACTAAATATTTCCACTTTAAAGATAATTCCTACAGCTAAATGTATGCATCGAAATCTTAGAATTTTTTGGTCACGAATATAAGCGTGTGTCTGGTTCTTCAATATCTCACTCGGTTCCCGTGTTACCTTTAATCGATGCGTATATACACATATAAAGTCGCGCTTGGAGATAGTATTTCTTCGCGATTTTGACGTAATGTACCGGTAAGATACTCGCACTCTGAATGGAGTACGATTCTGCTATGCACTCTGGACATCGGCGCCGAATTTTCGAACTACGATGGTGGGGCAAAATAAAGATAATTAATTATTTCGACGTAAATAATAATTCCTGAAACTAAATGCGTCCAACGAAACCTTACCTTTTTTTTGGTACCGAATAAAAAGGTGTGCATTGTTATTCAAAGCTCAACGGTTCCGCTCTTACCGTTAAACGAAGCGAATATACTCCTATAACGTCGGCTAGGCGATAGTAGTTCTTCGCGACATTATTTTGGGATAAAAAAACGTAAAATTAAAAAAGTTGATATTTAAATCGCTTGGTTGTCTCGACTCACGTTTCATGCTTATCTTTTATTCGCTGTCCTTGTCTACGTTCGGCAAACTACAAAGGCGGGCGCGGGGCTCGAAAACGTAGTCCCTGACTCTACGAGTGTCAGGTTTAGCTTCCTTGAGGTCTGACACTTGTGGAGAATATACTGTACTCCCTTAAGCGAGGAATACCGTAGATTCGATCATATCTGACTTACATAGTCCAAAAAAGTCTAAAATCATGTCGATTGCTGTGGTATAAAGTTAAACATGTTTTTTTTCATAGCCAAGCATTCATCAAACGTGCTTCTTTTCGTCGCTGCAACCGGTATATGCTACTTTTCATGGCAAATTACTCGAACGTGTTAGTTTTCACAGTGAAAGACGAAACATGCTATTTTTCGTAGACCACCCCATTCAAATGTGCTACTTTTCGCGTCGGAAAAAGAAACGTAATATTTTTCGTGACAACGGAGACAAGCATGCTGTTTTTGGTAAGACAAATGAAACGTGCTACTTTTCGTAACGCACGTCGATTTGACGTGGGTAGTTCTTTTTATTTATATTATATTTGAACGAGACATACCGTAGATGAAAGTTTTCGACGAATATGATGATAAAATTTATTTCTCGAATTAATGAAAATAATATATCGTATAAGTGGTCTCGTTAGTTGTACGAGTGACTGGTTGGGAAATTATAATTCGAACGTAGGTTACGAGCATGCGACGGTACATCTACCTAAAGACAACGAATATCCTTCACGTTTTGTGTTAACGTATTAAATTGTGTTACAAAGTAAGCCAATGTTTATGTTAAATATTAAATTGAGCGATTCAGTTTATTTTCGCGAAGTTGTATTATGAAATGATCACATTTACTGCCGAAGTGATATTTGTCGATGACATTATCGAAGACACGATTATCACGCACGCTTGCGACAATATCTATGTTCCTTTGTCATAAAAAGTCGTAATTAACATTTCGAGTCTTGTTGGCTATCGCCAACTTGACTGTAGCGGAAGCCCATATCTATACGTATATTTTCGGCGTTTATCAATGGATTCTCGATGCATGCTTGAATCAAATGAGCGACCTCTTCACATGTTCCGTAACGTTTCGGCGTTAGTTTCATCGTGACCCAATGCTTTTTTTCCTCCGGTTTTTGCACAGCTGAATTTCAGAATTATCGATAGTATCGAAGTATTTATTTATGCAATACAACTAATAAATAAGCCTATTATTCTAGTAATTAACCCTTTTGTTACGTTCCATTTATGTCGAAAGAGAAGCCATATGATTTTGAAATTTTTCATAATGCCTTTTTCATTTACCCTTTAACCCCTTTACTCTCACATTTTTCTTAACTTAATGTGCCAAATAAGATCAATTTTGTTTTCTTTTTTTCATTATTTCCTAAGCGAATAGAAATAAATTTTTCATTATTTATAACGCTGTAATTTACTCTTTTTGTCATAATAGAAAGGATAACGCAATATGGAAAGTGAAAGAAAATAATTTTAAAATGTTGCACTTATTGGAGGATTAGTTGTGCACGTGTGAGACATGTGCATGAACGTTAAAGGGTTAAAACCGAGAGATAATTTCACCGAGCCCTGTATGTACACTCCCGTTCGTAAATATTAGGAAACTTAAATATAAAGCAAACCTAAACAGTTCTCATAAAATTATTATGATATTGATCAAAATGATTATGTCTGGAATCCTGTAGTACAAGTACATACATGAAATTCAGTTTGAAAATTTGTTGCAGGTCGTTGAACCTGTCTCGACAACCGCTTTCATATAATATAAAAACAATTACAGTTATCAATATTTCAAAAAATTCCTCCCATCATCGTTACGCGAAAACCATTGCAAATTTGAGAAATCTATTCAAGTCATCGCATTGTGCATACAAAATAACGAAAATTTGTCCTCTTCTATATTCCTGAAAAATCAACCGCGTACGAGAAAAAATGCTGGAAAATAATAGCGTGAACACGTGTAATTTAAATCATGTAATCATGATCACTCTCGTTTAAATCGTGTAATACTTTCTGTTCGAATATGACAGGTGCCTTGGTACTTATGAACAGCAGTGTACTTCCTTCGGCAGTAAAAGGTTCGCGACCACAAGTAGTCACAAGTAGCATTGACATACCTGTCATAGGACTCTCTATGTAACCAGGACATATGCCGACGACACGTATCCCACTCTGTGCGAGTCCTCTGGCCATAGGCACCGTCATGCCAGAAACCGCGGATTTCGTGCTGCCATAGGCTACCATAGTGGGTGGTGGCTCATACGCCATCATACTCGAAAGATTGATAATAACACCTCTCTGCTGATTTGCATCCGGTTTATTTTCCGCCATCAGACCAACCATTAAGCGGGTTACGTTAAACAAGCCCCACACGTTTGTGTCGAACAAACACCTGTACATTTCGATCGAATGAGGCTTTTTATTCTTGAAATCGTACAACGCCTCGTATCCGGCGACACCGGCAGAATTAATCAACACGTTCACACCGCCGAATTTATCCTTCACGCATTTCATGCTGTCTAAAACGTCCTTCTCGATTCTTACCTGTGAAACGGTTTCGTTAGAACCTTTGAAATAGAGAAACACTCTTTGCTAAGTTATCTTTTCCGACACTTTTCAAATTACAAGCTTACGGCTATTTTATTATTACCTATCCATTGCACTAAAATTCAATTGATTCAAATTACACGAATTAGAGGAAAAATTTTTCTATTAAACTTTATCAAAAAAAAATGGAAAGTAACTTTCATTACTTAGGAATTATAAATTTACGGTTGTTTTCTTATTATCTATCTATGATTGCACTAAAATTCTAATTTTATTCTATTATCCACGTTGCACTAGAATTGCACAAAAATTGTTTCCATCGAACTTTGTCAAACAATAAAATTACTTGTCAAGTGAATACGATATACCGTGATATACAGAGTCTATTAAAAGTAGGACTAAAATGTACAGGTCGACGAGACAAATTTCTTTGAGCGAAGCAAAAAGCCTTGGCCAACGAACACTCTTTTAGTTCCTCCATCAACCCGTACAGTTTGAACTTGTGCTTTTGAAACATTCTATACAACGTTAGAAGATTTTATGGATCGTGTGGAGTGCTAAGTAAAGCAGAAAGAAAGGTGATACAATTCGGTTTGGTTTAGAAATGTCTTCGAAGAAGTTAAGAATATTTGCCACGTATAATGCACAGATATATTCGTCTAAACGATATCGAAGACTTACGAGCAATTGAACTTACGTCGGTACACGTATATAAAGCTTTTTCGCCCATACTCTCGGCAACTTTAGCTCCATTGCAAGATATATCGGCCAGCACCACCTTGCCACCTTCGCAAAGAATTTTCTCAGCGATAGCCTTTCCGATACCATTCGCACCCCCAGTTATGTAAGCGACTATATGCTGAAAACCATAATTAACCGTTCCTTTTATATGTTTTCGAGAAAATATTTTCTAAATGAAATCTTCAATATATTTTCTTTTCTAATCAGATCAGTATAAGAGTTGTGATTCTGTATAATACTTAACAAACAGGGAAATGTTTTTTCTAACATTTGTATCGTAGACATTTTAAATGTGAAGTTACTACGTATAAGTGTAAGTACATTTTATATTCAACATATTTAGGGTTGTACTGGGAAGTGATTGCAATATTTTCAAACACATGAACAATTTTTTAATGTATAATTATATAATTTATTTTGTACCACAAAAGGAAAACGAGTTTTATTTATAAGATACTTCCTTTGACAGAATAGGTTGCAGAAGTTTTCCTCAAATTCCTGTACGATTTGTTAATAATTTTAAATATTGTTCATTCGCTCCTCTTATGTATTGTATAAATTTTACGAAATTTAATACAGCGATATTTAAACAATTTTGTCTCAATAATGTTTAAAAGATTTTAGAAATATTTAGCGTAGAAAGTGTTGGTAAGAGGAGAATTATTCAAACATTACCTGCATCTTCCCCATTTTGACATTCCTTGGTAATTACACACCAACGGGGCTGAAATTGGATTTTTCTTGTTCCCTACTATCCCTCGTTTGGTCTAAGAAGATTTCAAGTTAGTCAAGTACTTCGGATATTCTAAAAAAAAACGAGGAAAACTTTAAAAACCCGATGAATCGAGTTTCCTCTTTCTTCCACTTTTTTAGGTACTTATTGCAGGATGCAATTGTATTTACGAAGTTCCTTCAAGTATATGCCACGATAAATCAGACTTATCCATCTCAGGGGAAACTGTAACAAAATACTGGTCGACTGAAACTTACATCACTTACCAATTATGGACTGTATCTTCTACCCTCTCACTGACTTTCTATTTAAATCAGTTTATCCTTCATAATAATCTTCGAATAGCTTCAATGACAATTCAAAACATAGAAACAGATGGCAGTCAAAGATGAACGACTGTCATTCTATTTTTCATTCAATATTCAACGTTCTTCACGAGTATAGTTCACAGAGATGAGGTCTAGTGTACAACGAAGTATTTCATTGTAATATGGCGAAAATTCGAATTTTCTGAATATACAGGGTGGGCCACGTGAAACAAGCCACCGAATTTCCTTCTCTAGCTATGGCGGCACGAGAAAATTCCTGTACGTAATTTAAATAGTTTCTAAGGGCGAATAAAATGAAAGACAAATTGTTTTGATGGAAGAAATGGCAAAAAATTGTGGCGACCGCCACGGTGGGCCTACGTATCTAGGCCTGGCGACTCTTGGCCCTCGAGGCGAATCGACATCTCCGGGTTTCTTCGTCCTCGAGGACGAGAGTATAGCCTCGGCAATGTAGGCCCGTGCCACCGCTTCCTGGGACTTTCCAAGGGAAAAAGGGGCTACTTAAGGGAGCCCCGAAAAAGGCACCAGGCCCTTTTTTTCGTGGACATTCTTTCTACGTGCATCGTGTCGCCTGCACTTTAAAAATAGTTTAAGCGTTATCGGATTTAAATAAATATATATTTCTGTTAAGCAACCTTGGTGTAATAATTATTTTTACACCACGTCACTTCCAAAAAATTAAAGAAAGTTTCACGTGTAATTAAAAATTTTAGAGTGTAAGTTCATTACTATGCACGTTTAAATGTACATTGATGTCTGCTACAACGTACAGTGAAAAAATGAAACATAGGTGACTTTGAAAACAAAATTAAAAAATTGACATCTATGAAAAAATTTTTCTTTTACACAAATTTTCTCGCACCCCTATAGCTAAGTAGAGAATATAATTAGGTGGCTTGTTTATGCTAGCCCATGCTATATGATATCACAATTTTTTTGATTAATTTCTACAAATTATAAATTAAATAAGTCCATTTACTTTCTAAATTGCATAACGTGCAATTAAAGATTAAAATATTCCCAGTTCTGATTTTTCCAAGTTCACAGTGTAAAATAAATTATGTCATAATTTCATTCATTTATTACCAGGTGAAAGAACGTTTCTCACATTTACTCAATAGCAGAGATTTTTGCCCCGCGGAAATTCTTGCGTGAAAGTTCTTCCGTAGAAACCTTTGATGCGTCGATCCGTTAAGGCGGCAACGTCAACCCGACGATATAACCTAATTCTCGACGATTAAATGCAACGGTTGCGATAAGGCTTGTAAATTGAGCGAATTATGCCGTTGGTACCGGTACGTACACGACGTAGCCTCAACCGATTAACATGCGCATTACGCGAGGTCGGAACGCTCAACCTGACATTTGCATTGGAACGTGTCGAACAACCTGAGACCTCTATAACACCTGGTGCCATGGATTACTTGTAACTCTCTGTTTTATTGATCGTAAACTGCATTGTTGAGACACCGTGTTGAGCTCGAAAGGAAAGGGAAGTAATGAAATCTTCTTGCGGTGCAAATGCAAATGCGCCGAATCAAAGAATGAAACGATTCTTTTAGCTCACTTTAAAAATTCAAACTTCCATCGATGTACATGCAGCAATGAATCTGCTCTTGACGATTTTCATTTTAAACAATAGCACAGGTTGTTGTGTTCTAAATTTCAATTGTAATACCATTATTTTTCATTATGTCACAATTTTAGAGGCTATAAGAGTACATTTTTACAGACAGTTTTAATGGTTTTCAATTGGAGTGTGTGATAGAGTAGATTTGGATAGTGTTATCTTTCCCAGGGTTTATTGCTACCTGTTAACCCTTTGATTTACGATTTTTTTACAGCCTACACATGCAAGCGCCAGTTATTTATTGTTTTAATACTGTATTAGATAAGCAAGGTAAATGTATCACGGAGTGTTTATATTTAATAATCTTCAGATTTATAAATCAAAATGACAAGTTAGAATTAAAATTAATCTTCGTTTCTAATATAACTGTTTTCGTCGAATCTTGATCAGAATCTGTGTCACGAGTCTCACTCGTTATTACAAGGCAAAGAGTTAATAAAACTGAAATGCATATCTAAGCGATATGTTGCTTTCGTTTTGCAGTTATTTATTAAACAATCTTAGATATTACACGTAACTAACTTATACAAAAATATGTAGCATGTATCATAATACGTCCACTTTGAGGACGAATTTAGTGCTTAAGAATAATCAAGCAAGTTTGCATTTTTCACCTTTGAAATAGCTATTACCTACAGGGCGTCTCTGCAATAGTGATATTTTCAAAGTCGTTTTTCTCGAAAACGAAGCCTTGTGTGCAAAAATTCTATTCTGCACATTTGACTTATTTTTTCACAAGGAATCACCCTTTTTCCGATTGTACTGAAATTACAGAGGCACTGTATGTATTGAAACGCCCTTCTGTACTGCAGAACCTGCATAAGTAACTATTATTCATTAGGATAACTCGGTGGACTCCAACCTAACTAGAGAACATTGCATTCACACCTCTTCTAGAAACACTTGTAATATACTTTCACGGTGACAAAGGAAATGACGAGAGAGAGAGTGAGGTATGAAGAAGAAGAAGACGGGAGGAGAAATACGAAAGCCCTTTGAAATCGGTCACGTTAAGAAGCGATCGGCCGCGCGATGGAAACACTTCTCCTTGATCTCCGACAAATTGTTAGTTCGTATGCTCGACCAATTTCAATCCTGCTCTCGCTACTTCCAATTTCCTGAGCGTCATTACCGGCGTTCGTAAAGCCCCCGTCGAAAGGCCAGGAGAAATCTTACGGTGTTCCCCTGGCGTCGGAAGAAACCAGTCCTATCCTAACTGCCGTCGGAGCTTCTGCTCGCGACAGCCATCGGCTTTCGTTCTTCCACCATATCCGCACCTCCTTCCTCACCCTCCCCGACCAATCGTCCCCGCAGCCACCAATATTCAGCCGCGCTGCGAGGACTACTAGCCCGCCGCCCTCCCTCCCGCCCCACGTCGCGTTTCTACTGTTGCGTATCGAACGTGGGAGCAGCCTGAACACAGACTCATACCTGGATCCTTCGTTTTGCACACGGGTGCGAATTCTGGAGAAACCTGGCCCGGAGAAATGAGGCGGTAGAAGGGGGAAGGAGAGCGGAGGGGTGGAGTAGTACATTGAAGAGGATGGAACGAAGGTGAGGATGGTAGGTTAAGGGAGGATAGTAGATGCTGAGGCTGGGACGTGAGTACGGCTGGTGGAATAAGGGGATGGGGCAGAGGTCGCAGAGGTCGGACACCACGTAAATTGCATACCCGATTGCGGTCTACTGAAGAGTGGCGCCCTCCACTGGGCAACCCCCTCTTCAGACCGTACCAACCCCAAACTGGATCTAACAAGCCAGCAACCACAGACTAGGTTCAGCTTGCAACGGGGCTGCCACCTCTAGGGACTGCCGGCGGGTAAAGCCGGTGAACTGTCCCTCGTGTCCTGACTGGAAACCCCTGCTTCCTTTCTGTCTCCCTTCCTCTCTACTGCCACCCACGTCCGCCTTCCTCAGCCGTGAAAACCTTCGAACCCATTCAGCCGTCCTAACAAGCCCGTTTACGTTCAGCCTGTAAACCTACTGACGTTACCGTCCTATACACCGACGAGACGGTGTTTCTCTGATCGCGACATTCGTGGCCTTTACTCGGGGAACAGATTTACCTGGGGCCTGTGTTTATGTGTGTGTGTGAAATGATAGGTAGCTTGTTGGGCGATATATTTGAGAGGAAGTCCTTTTGCATGACGATTGGGAATTGGTTAATGAAAAGTACTCGGATGAAAAATAGGAAGTATTGGCACACTTTCGTATTTTTTATCGAAACGATTGATTTTTGTACCTATGTTGATTAGACACTTTTTACTCCTCTCGGTAAGCTCCTAAAGCCTGAGAAGAAGAAATAAATTAGACGGTTGAAGAACGTCTAGATATCAAATGTTAAATGGTCTGATTGATCGAGGTATCTGCTTAGCTTAAGGGCGAACTAGCTATGAAAAATCATTCTTATATATCACTAGTTTTTAATATGACGAGAGCATTCCACACGTGGAAGCAAGAAACTGCACGAAAATATGCTTGTTCGTCCTTATTGGCGAAGAAAACGTCCTAAATAAAAATTTCAAGAAGGGAATCTACGAAGCAGAAGATCCGACAAAAATATTACCCACGAAGAAAATAGAATAAAGTGAAACTTTACCGTAAAAGCTATTTTTCATTCAGTTTACGTAAAATGGTGTAAAACCTCCAAGTTTCGAAATCTTCGTATTTCGTTACTTTGGAAAAGGTGTCTCGAATGTTGTCGTCCTAATCTCTGTGCATTTGCAAGACCGGCTCCTATTGTAATCGCTGGATTTCACGGGACCACAATTACGACAATAGCGCGAGGACTTTAACGAGTCGCAACACAGTATAAAGTCAGCCATCACCTCGTTCCTGTTAAAGACAGAAAATCCCCGGCTGCCATTTTCCCGCAGAGTACCAGGAACGTTCTAGTTACCGGACGCTCTAATTACCGCTTTTGGATCTTACGGTATAAAAGAAACCATTTCATAATAAGTGTCACCGACAGATCCGAGTGGCATCTTCGAGCAATGAG